TACATTTCCATTTCTGGTATACTAAAGGATATACAAGACCAATAAAAAGTTGTGGGACTAGGTGTCCTGCACTATATGTAGTTGCCTCAAGTCAAACATTTCAACTTTGGGGTTTTAATTTCGACTTCATGTATAGGTATGATGTATTGTATTTTGCTTTTTGAGCCAATGTATGTTTTTTTTTGTCATTCTAAAGTAATGTAGGTGGACAAATGTCTATGCAATTGAATTTTGCACTAAAATTCCAGACGTAAAAATGAATGTCAAGAGAAACTTTTTTTTAGCTGGCTAACATCATTAGTTTCGAATCAGGCTTGAATCAAGTCGGATTTCATTGATTCGTCCAGGAGCCTTATAAATAATCTTTAAGACAATTTTAACAGTAGTATGCAGTTGTAAAAAAATAGTTGAATTCGAAGAAAAAAGGAAGATTTAGTTTGAAACAACTAAGAGTTTTGTTACAACTGTAATATGGTAAAACCAGATTTATATAATAATTAATATTATTTTTGGACCAATAGCTCTAGTCTAAAACCTATACTGAAATGAAAAAATGGTAGTTTGTATATCAACTAACATGCTTATTAGATAAAAATTATCACAGGCGAAAGGAGTGGTATTTGTACAACTTACAGCTTTTAGCATGCTTAATTCATGATCGCTAAATTTATAATCTAAGGGTCATATTTTTTCCTAAGGAGGAACAAAGTTATAATCTTGTTTTAGTAAGTTATGTTCATAACTAAATCTTATTTTAGAAATCATTAATTTAATCATTTGACATTTTTCTTAATGGTGGCATTAATCATTCAATTTTAACAATTTGCAACATGATTAATTTGATTTTTTCTTAATGTGATGTCAGTCATTTGATTTTTAAAAGGTTTTGTTGCAATTAATATTGTAAAATAGTAATTTTACATATCACGGGAAATCAATAAATAAATCTGGAAAGTTGCATGCAAATAAAAATGAGAATATCTAAAATGATGGAGAATAAATATTCTAACATTCTAAATATAACAGACTTTTAATTCTTAGATTTAATTAAACAAAGGAATTTAAATGATTGGATCACTTTAGAAATAACTTGAAATATTTCTACACAGAAGATTCAAGTAATACATTTAATTAGGATTTCAAAGAAATCAGAAAATTCAATTCTTGTTAATGTCACAACAAATATAACTTGTAATTTCAATAAAATAAAACCATTTAGTTTTAGAAATAATATTTACATCTAAGGCTCCAAACAGAACAGAACAATCAGATTTGGAATAAATCTGATCTGATCTGAGATATTATGTATACACAGTGAATCTCGATTTAGTAGACCTCAATTTAGCAGATACTAATTAAAAAACTCAGTTTTATGGATAAAGTTCAAAGAACGGTTTCATAATAGACCTTAATAAAAACCTTCTTGATATAGCAGATATCTTGGTTTAATGGATTTTTGGAAAATTTTCCCTAATTGCCCAAACTATCTGTTAAATCGAGATTCACTGTGTATACAATAATAATAAAATTTATAAAAAATCATTTATGAAAGAAATTATGAATTAAGAATTTTTATTTGATCTGATTCAAGATCTGATCTGGTATAACTTGTAACTTGGTTTTAGCGAATGTGTTGAGATCTGATCTGGTATAACTTGTAACTTGGTTTTAGCGAATGTGTTGCGAAGTAGAGATGCTGGAAGGATCTTATTTCTAAATACATACAGTCTATAATTTTTATACCATGGTAATTTCTTATCCATATTCATATGCTTCTATTCATAATAATAATGCAAATTCTTATTCGAATTATTTATTTTATTCGCTTTATTTGTTTTGTTCATTTTATTCGAATTATTCAAATTGTTCGTTTTGTTCGTTTTATTTGAATTATTCTTTTTGTTTGTTTTATTGAATATTTGTTTATTTGTTTCATTCGAATTACTTGTTTTATTTGACTAAACTTACGATGTAATTCGAATACTCAAATTCATAATAATAACGAATGAAACAAAAAATTTGAATAGAAACTCTAAGGGCGTTTTATTTTTTAAAATTCATCATTTCCGCAAACTTTTTAAACTCATTCAAACTTTTATTGTTTCAGGTTCTAAAATACAACATCTTTGGGTAATTAAGTCTGTGCCTCCAGAAAAATTCGTTCAACTGAGGCACTGGTTGCTATGGTTGACTCAGTCTAAAGACCTCCTATTGCTGCGTCATGTGGAAAATAGCACTTCACGTGATTTTAGTTTTTCTTACTGCCAAATTCCTCGTGAGCATAGTAAAGTACATGTTTTAAAAAAGAAAAGAACCCTACAACAAATAATTTTTTTGAGAATACCTCGTCATTACATTAAAATTAAATACTTATCCTATCAACTAATAGCGCTATTTTTTAAAAAAGTAGGACAGAAAGCGACTTCTATACTTTTAAAATTTGCCCAAAATTTAGGAGGTCTTTAGACCGAGTCAACTATATAATAAGTTTGAAATTAATAATTTTAATTCTAAAAAAAAAAGAATTTAACAATCATATATAAAATTATTATTATTATTATTAATTAAAAAAAATTATTAATTAATACAATTTATTATTGTTATTAATTTTAAGATAGTTGTAGACCGTCATCATATTGCATGGATTGTTGTATGGATGAATTTGTTACTAGTGGGTATTTTATTACTGAGCATGGTGATAATGAATCATTGCCCATCATTGCCATCATTACCATCATTACCATCATTACCATCATTATTATCATCATTATCATCATTATCATCATTATCATCATTACCATCATCATCATTATAAATTACTTGATCTGTTGTAGATATATTGGTATGTGTTTGATCTATTGCAATATTATTTAAACCTGGAGTACTTCTTTCTAATCCTGGTTGTAAATTTAGATCCATAGTATTAGAAAGTTGCTGTAAATTTGAGGTCGAAAAAAGTGATTGATTAGCCAATATTAATTGATTTAATAATAGTTGCTGTAGTAATTGTTGTTGTAATGTTTGACATTGTTGTGGCTGCTGTTGTAGTGATTGTAGTAATTGTAATTGTTGTTGTTGAATCGAATTAGGTGGACTATGTATTTGTGGTGTGATACCAAAATTACCAAAATTATTATTGTTTCTGTTGTTGAGGTTGTTATTGCTATTAAGCAAACTATAAACAGAATTATGATTTGAAAGACTTTGAATATTAGATGATGATATTAATGATGGTGTTGTTGTGGAAATACTTCTCATCAAATTATCATTGTTATTAATTTGATCTTGAGAAGAAGAAGGGAGAGGAGGGGAAGAAGGAGGAGAAGAAGAAGTCATTTGTGTGCTATGAGCTGATGATGAAGCATCCTTAGTTGATGATAATTCTTGTGCATTCTTTTTTTGACTATTTCTACGATATAAAAGGAAAATACCAACTAATGTAGCAATAATCAAAGCAAAACCAACTGAAATCACAATTGCTAGAATTGTTGTAGGACCAAGCCCTGAATCTGATGTTGATGATGTTGATGTTTTACTACTAGGAGATAGACCAGGAAATGATTTTACCCATTTGTAATCAACTATATTAAGTATTTGAATTGAATTACTCATTTTAACAGGTGGCCCAACTTTGTTTGTTATATTACCTAAGATACATAAATGATTTAATATACATGTACATATACACATACATATATTATCATCATTATTTTATAATTAATTTATTTATTTACCAAATGTTACCACCATATAATCTCCAATTAAGTCTGCTTGATGG